TATATAAATAGCATGTGACGAGCAGGAAGCAACAGACAGACAGATAAAAGAAAAAAGAATACAGTTGGTGTGAAGTTAAGTAATGTAAAAGTGATGGGCCTAACGAATAACATAGGCCTAACATTTTATATATATTAGAGTGAAACTAACAGCGGAAAAGGAAATAAGAAAAAATCAGTTTATTCCATCAAAGTGAAAATGTTCTCCAAACCACTGCACGACCTCCAACAGACTGCACTCTCAGAAAAGCAAAAATACAAGAACAAATACTTCTTGTAATATTATCACATTATTACCACACAGTTAAAATGGAAAAGGTTGAAATCACATGCTTAGCCATTCAATGTTCATAATTTCCATTCTAAGCATCACTGAAATTGTTTCCATCCCAAGTAACTAGTTTTTGAAGGTGATGGAGGTTATTTTTCCAATCATGTGTGTGTGTGTGTGTGTTTGTCAGCAAGATTTCTCAAAAATATCTGAATGAATTTGGATGAAAGTTGATATACATTTGGACTATGACCCAACTTAGAAGTGATTAGTTTTTGGAGGGTCAAGGTCATGAGAATCCATAAAATACCTATCTGTTAACATCGTGACTGATTTTTCACACTATTTTTGCTCTATAATACAGTTAAAAATGATTGGTTTGATGAAACTTGGTGAACATATGTAGAATATTGTTCCTCATTGTCCTGCCAAAAATGGTCTGTATCCATTGATAATGACAGACATACAAAAACATTTTCATAGTTTTTGAGGGCCAAATATGATCAATGCTGCTTGGCAGAGGTATGCACTCTACTGAGTGCCCCTCTAGTTGTAATTACTTCCACATGGTACAACTTTATTGGGGACTGTCAAATCCTCACCCCTTTTGAAGGGATCATTGAACTGGTATATAGACTGATATTTGTTACACTTTACAGATCTAATTATTGGTTCTCTTATTCTGATACCAACAGATGACAGCCACAGCTCTTCTTAACATTTAGTTTTGATTATCATAGTGATGGACCCTGATAACTGACATTTTTAAAGGCCATAGAAAACAATAATGACTCACCTGTTATGAACTAAGGATCTACATGAAAATTTAAAATTATTTTAGTTCTGTTCTACATCACTGGCTTACTTTTGATCAGATGCACTTAATAATATTAAAAATACACATTAAATAATGCATATACATTACATATTTCTTACTCTAGTATGAGTAACATTCACAAAATATAATCAACATACAATACAGCATGTTTCTTTTATTATCAATATTATCTAATGTACAAAGTTGAGTACATTTGAATAAAATTATTTTGGAGCAATGATCCAACTAATGTATGAGGATGACTGTTTTCCAGAATCCATTTCAACAGTCCAATCTCACACAAATCCACTATGCTGCATCCAGTGAGTTGACCAGTATGTTTTCATATGGAATAGCAAGAATATTCATTTCATTCTCCAGATGCTTGAGATGATGACTTAAAACCTTAATGACTCTATACCCTGTTGGTCTCATTTTCATGTGGTACAAAGGGTCCTGAATATGACAAACTTTCAGGATAACAAGGAAGCTGTTGGTCCATCTAGGTCATCACATCCACTAAACTAAACTTTAAAAAATAACTCAAAGCTAACACTTCATCAATCAAACATTAATCAATCCTTCCCTCAAGTTCCCTTACATTTATTGCATCTATCATATCTGAAGGCAACCTATTCCAAAGGCCAACAATCATGTTAGAAAAATAAAATTCCTACCCTGCCAAAATTTATATTCTATTCTCAGTGTGATAGTAAACAGAGTTCACCTTTGTCAATTCTTCTGATATCTAACTTGTTCCTCACTAGTATTCACTGATTATTATGAATGAGTTCAAAAATGTTTTGCAACATGCCTTGTACCACTTTGGGAAATTACCCCTCCCCGAGACATGTGAACAGCTTTTGCTACTGACCTAAGTGTTTGTGGAGTCTCACCTGTTATAAGATGCCATACTTTGCTTACCACAAATAGTGTACAATTTGTTGCAAGTTTATTTCTAAATGATCCTGATACCCTATGTTTTTCAATGATAATAAATATAAAGGATATCCCCATCTTGCAAATTCTAAATCCACAATTTGAAGGTATGAATATTTTGCATCAGAGAGGGATGTTACATGCACTTACCAAAAGTGATTAATTTTCAGTAACATCACAATACCTATGAAATTCCAGAAAATGTCAAATGTATTCCTGATACATGCCACTCCACTGTAACTTTATATCAGCTATGGTTGTCATGATTTGTTGATTCACAAATTCAAATTTATTTTCATGTAAAGTGCTCAACATTCTGTATATATTGGACATTGCTTACTTCAATATTACCAAATATTACTATTTCCTAAAACTGAAGTGTATGCTGTACAATAGTTGCTTTAATTTACCAAATGTGCTATATGCTTCTGTAGACAGCACAAGAAATCAACAAGCTACTCAGGGTAATAATGTGCTGACGCTTCTTTACACAGCATAAGAAATCAACAAGCAACAAAGGGTGATAATGTGCTGATGCTTCTTTACACAGCATAAGAAATCAACAAGCAACAAAGGGTGATAATGTGCTGATGCTTCTTTACACAGCATAAGAAATCAACAAGCAACTCAGGGCAATAACATGCTGATGCTTCTTTACATAGCATAAGAAATCAACAAGCAACTCAAGGTGATAACATGCTACATGCTTCTTTAGACAACACAAGAAATCAACAAGCTACTCAGGGGGATAACATGCTACATGCTTCTTTAGACAACACAAGAAATTAACAAGCTACTCAGGGGGATAACATGCTACATGCTTCTTTAGACAACACAAGAAATTAACAAGCTACTCGGGGGGATAACATGCTACATGCTTCTTTAGACAACACAAGAAATTAACAAGCTACTCGGGGGGATAACATGCTACATGCTTCTTTAGACAACACAAGAAATTAACAAGCTACTCAGGGGGATATTACACCTTCTTAACTTCAGCATGAACCAAGTTTATAAAACTATATTTTACAGTATGTGTTTGGCATTTCTCATTCAACCAAAAGCCCAGTATAAATAAAAATGTACATTTCTTACAGCAGTACAAGTGACATAATATTACATAAAATGATGATAACTGTCTTTTAGCTTAGCATAAGTCATAATTCAAGTTTTGTTTAACATTTAAAATTATAAGATTTGCATACATATGCATTGTTCAACTATACCAAATTCAAATACCTTAAGAAAATGCCTCTATCACCTAACATTCGTACTTTCAACATTATAGTAATGAACCGTAAAGGATGACTTTGATCTGCTTACACATATTGTTGCCACATACAATTAAATCACTAAGAATAAACAACATGCTAGTAGACCAACTGATCTGTCAAGGTCATCCCACAACAACTCTTAACTAATCTTATAACTTATTGAGATATAAATGCTGAGAAATAGATTCAGAACTGTTTCCAGAGCTTACACTAATAATCTAATTACCCCTTATCAACTTAACAATCAAGTCATCCCAAAGACAGTTTATCCAAGTCCCAAATAATTTGAAACATTTGAGTTTTGTTTATTACTTTTCCTTTCTGAAGTGTGAATATACTTCATCTATACACATGTAGCAAGTTACACTACAATTCTTTTTAATTCATGATTAAGCTCAAGTCTTACATACTTGTATCAAAACTACATATGAATTATATAAAATGCTCTATAATTCTTATTCTACCAAGATTCATGTTGACAAAGCCAATTTGCTTGATAAATGCATCATCTGAGCAGCATCAGAACAGCTTTGCATTATTCAATTTAAAACAAATAAAAGAAACAACTTGTAGATATATTTTCAAACTTGAAAATAAATAAAAAATGCTATGTTCATATAGCATACATTATTTTCTACGTAATGGTTAAAGAAGCATGCATTTTAGGTAGAAGTTCTAGATTCCATTTAATGTATTAAATGTTTAAACTACTTAAATAAGTTAAATGTTATTATATGAATTTTAAAGAAACACTGAGAAAGTGTTGTTACTTTCACATACAAATAGCTTCAATATATATATATATATATATGCTCACACACATACACATATTCATCTTGAAGTGAAACCACCTTGTATTACAGTTTACTAGCACATATTTGCATAATTGTTTGTCTTGAGTCTCTAATCCTCCACTCTAAATCCAGTGGGATGCTTCAGTCTGATATGGTTCAAAATTATTCTTATACTGTCCCCATAACTAATTTCTGCACAGCACAGTCTACATTTTACTTTTTCATCTCCCTTTGTATCAAAGTATGCCCAAATAAAAATTCACTTATTTTGTGCTCTCAAAAACAACACTGCTATAGCCTGGTCAGTTTCATCTCTATGAAGTGGGAGATTATGCTGGCAAAGTATCAAAAATGTAGTTCCAATAATTGGTGTATTTGGAAAAGCCAGCAGTTGTTTTTAATTTATATACATGTATAAATACTTATAATCATAGCTTCACATACTTTTTTGTCTCTTACAGTATTATATTCAATTCAGTGGTAATATCTATCTGTTAAATGTGTAATTATTAGTAATATAAATAATTAGAGTGATATAAGGAATTTGTTAAAAACAAATAGCAGCATGACATATTTTTACAAATGCAAGTTTATGGTGAAATGTAAATCTCACCATGTAGCAAAAGTAGAAAGTAAATGACAAAAGAACCACTGAATAACCCTTAGTTTTTTTTAATATTTTACTTGCAAATGTTTATCATTTAACAGATTAAGCAAAACTCAAAATGTTTCACACTCGGCAAACATTTATGCTCTTAAACTATTAACACCCTGAATTTTAAGGTAACAATTCACATGCTCAACTCAAGCATTTAACATAACCTAATGTTTTGGAACAACATTGGACCTATTGATCCATCTCGGCTGTTCCATCCTCTAAACTAAATTAAAATAATAATAATTTAAATAAAATCGTAAAGCCAGCCCTTATCATTCATATACCTATCAAGCTTTTTTCTTAAACTCACTTAAATTTACTGTCTCTACAACATCTCAAGGCATTCCATTCCAAAGACCAACCACCCCCTTAGAAAAACAAAACTGTTTTAGATAAAGATGACTTCTACCTTGACGAAATTTATATTTGTGTCCCCTAGTCCTACTATTCTTACTGTTAAATAAGATAAGAGATTATGCATCAACACTATTAATTCCCTTTACAATCTTAAACATCTCAATCAGATCCCTCAACTTCTTTTTCCAAGAGAAAACAATTTGAGATATTTCAGCCTCTCCTCAAACGACAATCCCTCCATCCCACACACCATTCTAGTAACCCTTCTCTGAACCCTTTCCAACAATTCAGTGTATTTCCCAAGATACGAAGCCCAAGACTGAACACAATATTCCAAATGTGGCCTAACCAGTGACCTGTATAATGAAATTATAACTCTTTAGACTTGTATTCAAGATTTCTGTAGATACAACCTAAAATCCTATTCGCCCTACCACTAGCAACAGCACACTGCTTGGATGGCTTTAGAGACTGATTGACTATTACACCAAGATCCCTTTCCTTCATAACACCATTAAAGTTATTCTCATCCAAATAATACTTATAATTCAAATTATGATAACCCAAATGCATTATCTTGCATATATTAGAATTAAAACCCATCTGCCATTTATTTGCCCAACTCACTAAATGATCTAAATCCTATTGTAAATCAGCAGCATCCTCTTCACAGCAAGCAACACCCAAGACCTTAATATTATCTGCAAATTTAAATAAGTTACTGACTATTCTTTCATCTATGTCATTGATGTAAATCAAAAAGAGCAAAGGTCCTAAGTACATATTACATTACCTTCATACTGGCCAACAATGATGACAACTTCTTTTGGGCATTTTCTTCAGTCTTTTTACTGTTCTGATTATTTTTGCATATTTCTTTTCCCTCCTGCTTTAAGTACTGTTCTTTATCTTCACTAAACTTTCTCTTTTGTATATTATTTCCAAAATATGATGCTGCAAGTTTGACTTCTGAAGAAAAACTTTCCAATATGCAACAAAAAAACAAAATATACTGATAGGTAAATTTTATGCTTCTAACAGAAGCTACATGTACAGCTAACAATATTAAAGATGTTTAAATCTTTATAACAATTGGCCTTTAATATCAAACAGGTCAATAGTAAAACTCTGATCTCCTCTAAAGAATTTGTCCTATTTACAACACTCAAGACGTTATTTTACAACAAAATTAATTTAAATTTAAAATTTAAATCTCTTGAGAAAAGAAATGTTATCTTATCTAAATTAATAAATTATTCAGAGATTGGTGAATAAAGGCTACTGACATATTCTGAAGATAATAGTACAAGAACAAAAGTTGAAGATGTGAAAAAGACAAGATAGGTTCCTGTTATGTTTTACTTCAATTACAGGGAAATACATGACCATTTTAGATTTTCACATACTATTATTTTACAGTTACCTTGTTGAACTATATAATCACCTACATAATACTGTCCATAGTACTGTATATAATAACAAAAATAAGTTCTGAGAAGGTATGTTATATAGGTGGCCATTGTGTATACAGTGAAATGAAAATAAATACATGACCATCATGAAGCAATTTATGGTTTTGACAGTATACATGATTGTTTTGGAACATTACATATTAGTTGCAACTATGTGAACTACATAAACTACAATAAACAAACCTAAATTAACTTAATCTGACCAAACCTAATCTAGATGATTTACAAATTTTGTATAAAATATAGTATGCCCATCTCTGCCAACCATGGTTCTTTGCACAACCAAGCAACATAAACAATATTAATATTCCTGCAACAACAACAACAACAAAAATGTGAACTTCCACAATGTTTCATTTCACAAAAGAAATATATAAATACATAAGAAAATATTGCTAAAGATAAGAAAACTAGTTATTACAAGTTAGATTCAAATGCATAATCTAGAACTCTTTATGAAACTAATGCCTTTGCCTATTATACCAATGTTACGTGCAGTGAAATGTAAATATTTATGAACATAAGCAAAATTGGTGTATGTGTATACACATCGGCATCAGATGTTCATCGTGTATATGACTATGACTCGCACTCACAGCATGAGCACCATCCACAGTATAGCTTGGTTCTAAAGACCCCTTGGGAACCACACAAAGTTAGCTATAAAAGTCATTTAAAGTTTTACCCACAAATTTCCAAGTCAATTTTTGTACATTTTCTCATCAATTGGAAATTCCATGCCCTACATACTAAGTATGAAACTTGATTATTCAATCTTTAGTGAAGCACTTCACAAAAAGAGGTACATCACATATGATGTTAAAATTTGAAACTTTAGAACCAAATTGAAAGCCTGTTTTTCTTCTTTTTTGGACGACACTCCAATATTTTGGATTTAATGAGATGGAAACAGTGAAAGTCAACTTGTTTAACTTTCACAAAGTCTAAACTTAAGAATGTTACTGTTCGTGTTACTCACTGTTAAGCGTTAATGTTATTGTTAATTCAAAGTTCAATAATTGATTGTCAAAACACATTTCTTATTCTTAAATCCTAGCTAAAATATAACTACAATCTATAGGCAGGATGAATTTGCCCCATGCAAATTTGTGAAAATTTAAATTACAAATCGACATAAATAAGCGATGTCTCTAACATACTAATTAATTCTTCTTGAAGAGATTTTAATTCCTATCCACCTTCTAATTGAAGCCATTGCTAAACTCACACGATACTAATGATCATTTCCTGTAGAGGGCAACCAATAAAGTTGTATATTATTCAAAATTTTGGAAAATGTTTTTATTATATAACTCTTCATTGTTTGTGTAACAAAAAAGTAATGTTATTTTTATGGGATATATAGGTAGTTATTTGTACTTGCATAGTGCAAGCTTCACAGAGTTATATGTCTTCATATGTTTATCTTAGTTCTTTTTTTTAAGCAGTCTGTTCGGCATGTGAACTCCATTTTTCATGGACTTGGGCTACTCTAATCGAATAGTGGGATTTGACCGTCATTCTTATAACACACTCATAACCTCAAAATGCAAAGTACGTTTGTTGTTTTGTGTGTGTGTGTGTGTGTAGAAACGCCACGCAAAACATACTCGGGTTTACATTCCTACACGCTAACTATCTAACCACGCCCGGCCGTTGAGAAGAATCTCAAATTACACTCTATATGCATATACTATAACATTTAAGGACGACAAGTAGTCCATGAGCCAGACCCCCAAAATTTGACCCATTGGTACCACTAAAAGGGGCAAATTCTACTATGCATCTTTGATCTGTCATATGTCTCTAGTTTTCAATTTTGTTTGATAGCTATTTGGGTGTTGCAGCTTCATACAAAAAATCTGCACTTAAATTGAAGCACCGTCTGGCAAAATTTTATGACCAAATTTAACATAACTATCTAAAAGGACAGGCTATATTGAAGTTACTTACATGTTTTGTGTTATTTTGGCATATATTCCTTACTTTCAGGTATCTATCCTCTCCATAACAACAAAGAGAATTAAAATATATTCACTTATGTAGCTACAGTGTATCTTAGAACAAAATACCTCTTAGCAATAAAATCGCAAACATGCGTTTTCGCCATATTTTTATGTCTGCTTGTTAACAGAAACCACAGAAATTCTTATAAAGCTGTTTTTGCACGTTTTCTTTGTTTAGGTTTTTCTTGGGGTATATATTGGAGTAACTTACAACAACCTTAGATATGCATTTAAGATCTCTAGCTGAAAAGTAACTACTTCAACTCCATTTGATTATAAACGTATAGCAACAAACAAACAATATATCAGTATGTCTTTTATTTCATGTAAAACACAAGTCAAACTTTCTAGATCTTTTTTTGGTCAAGAAACCTTTAATGGAACATATTTAGATCATTAAGTTCAAATATTGTTGATTTTTCTATCCTTACTCTAGAATACAATAAATCGAAATGTCTTAGTCTTATTAGATCTAGTGTGGCATTAAGCATTATTTCTATCCCTTCAATGATACGATAAAAGGAACACATTTTTATCCAGATCAGAACAAACATCACAATGATATTGAACTATCAATAATGTTTGCTTACATGTTTGTCCATTCATATATAAACCTCTTATAACTTATCTACATAAATTTTTACGGCTATTACAAACAATTGTTACATGGTTGTATGAATATTGGGTATATGCATGCTTAATACTTTTCAGTAATATAATTAAAGTATTATAGACATTATTATGATGCATGTTGGATATCGCCTTCATCACCATGAAATAATTAAGGACATGTATTTTATTCGTATTCCTATGTGTTAAACCATAAAGAACAGACCATACATGAAATTGTCACAGCATTTCTAACTGGAAAACAGCTCAAAGCAGTAAAAATCGGGAGCCATATATATCATTGAACAAATCTTTATCATCAGGTTCAGCATCACTGACTTGATTGATTCATGATTCACTATGCACAGCTCTGTGTATCTGAATCAATTAGCAAGACAAGGGCAGAGAGGCATTTTGCATGCTCTGGAACATGTGCATGACAAAAGCTGTAAACAGCCTCTGGTATAGCTGGTACATCAAGCCAGTCAATCAAAATCTTTCTCCTTCCTCCTCGAAATCCATTCACTAGCCGTTGCCAACAGGAGATGAAATTTCAGGGCAACATTCCAGACAACGTTTTTAAACTCCAGCTTGGTAATTTGCCCTCATACATTGTTTATGGAGAGCAGCTGTACAAAGTGGTAGCTGTCACGACTCTCCGCCCTCTTCTTTGCACAAAAAGTCTATATCGCAGTTCATTGACACTCCTAGTTGATGCTTTGTTATTGTATAGATGGCATGTGAATGCTTCTAGCTGTTGTAACAATTCTATAATCAGAGTCCATTCAGAGCAAAGCTGTTGTAAGGCTTCTTTGTATTAAGGGTGAGTCTTCATGATTTTAAAGGCAGATACATTCCCCTGCTCAGCAAAGAAGCTGACTGTGTCACATCCTGTGATAGCATGTAGACCAAGAAGTGACTTGCAGTTATCTCTATCAAAGACATTTCACCTTTAGTGATGTCTGCATACTTTGACCTTGCTTATGTGCCACTCTTCTGGTAAATTTGACTTCAAATATATATGCTTAAAGCTGTACAGAGTACACACATACATCTGTGTTATCTACTACTATTTTTAGTGACTGGTACCCAGCTGATGCTGTATGGACAGCATGTAGGTGGATTCTTGTGTCATATCCCTCCTGTGTTGATTTTAGTTTCTCCACCTCCTCAGAGCTAACATCAGTAATTTTATGGCATATTTCATGTGACATACACCTCTCTGCCAACAAATCTTTTTTCTGTGCCTTGGCTGTTTCCAGTCATCCACCAGCACTTTGATGAATCTCTCCTTGTTGCTTGCACATGTTAGAAATTCTCTTCATTGTTGCTCACTGTGTCCTGGTGCAATATTCTTGAACCATGTAAATTCTTATGCCCTCTCCTGATTCTTTCAGCATCCTCAATGAAGTCTTTCTTGTATACATCAAATATGACATCAATTCTTTCACACCTGGAACCTTCATTCAAGACAAGTGACAATGCAAAATCTGCCATCTCAGCAAATGTATTGTGGTTTCTTATCATATTTTGCACAAGTGCCATCCCATCTATCAGGCATGCAGACTGTACAGGTAGGATGTCTACTGAAGGTATATTTTTTAAGCTCCTTGGAAAGAGCTGGTTTGCTTATATTTCTCAGGGCACTATCAGCTGTAGCTAATGCCCAGGGAAGGGGACCAAGAGAATGTGACAATACTTCTCTCATGTCAAGGTTGCTGCTGTGAGCAATTAAAATCATATGTATAAATAAATTATGATCTGCTATCAGGATTTATTTTTCACAGTTTTTGTTAGTTCTTCCCTTCTTGAGGACATTACTGAATGTTTTTAGCTTCTATTTTGGTAAGGGATCATGAAAGCGTTTGACAGGAAGGTTGCTTTGTAACCTTTCTTTCCTGAAGGTTTGATATTCTCCTTGTCCTATTTTTATAAGCATTGAGAAGATCAGTTGCAGTGCCAGGTGGAGTAACTCGCCCAGTATATATGCTAATAAGATCCAGTTGACTCAGGTTCTTTCAAGCATGTTTACGAGGCTCCTGACACCATGTTCATCTCTGAAAAATCTTGTTTTTGAAGATTTTTGTGTTGAAGATCAGTTTGACTTAGATCCAGCATATCATTGAGAAGTCTAAGATATTAGCGTACATATTCTGTAGTCAGATAGCATGGCTGATTGCACCTGCTTTGAGGCTGAAACCATTTGTGCCATCTTGTGTCTGTATGTTTTTATTGACAGTCTATTCTATTGTTTGGTACAAATTAATTTTTCCAAGGGAGTTGTGGAACTGAATTGAACAGATAACCCCCCTGCCTCAACATATGCATGGATGTCAGGGATCTCTGTAGTTAGGTGTGACGTTTCTGCATAGTAGTAGTAGAGGAAGTGGGCATAATTGATTTTGTCATACCTGAAGCACCAAAGGATCGTGTCATGGACTGCTGACAAATGTAACAGCCAATTCCCCTCCCTGGATGCCTTCAGTAAATTCAACATGTTTTCGACCATTTCAACATAGCTCAACCAGAAGCCAGCAAGAGGTCCATTATCATGTCACAGGAAATCTAGACACTTATCAAATAGTTCAGCTACTCTAATGAAGGAGTGATCCTGTAGCACGTCAGCAAATATGTCGTAGCACAGCCCTTGCCACATCTCAGATATTTTGGCCATCAAAACTTCAAGGTGATGCTTAGCATCATTGTTTTATAAGCCCATCCATGCTCAACATTCCTTCCATGCCAGGTTTAGTAATGCCTCATATAAAAGTTTGTAGAACCTGATAGCTCCGTTGTACTTGCAGCCTTCTAGCACTCCAGTGACTGATTCCTCCACAATAATACTAGACTCTATGCAAAGACATTTAAGACCTGCATCTTGGAATCACTTTCCTATGATGCCTAACTGTGTACAAATGGTGTGGAATACTCCAAGCTTTGATACTACACAGCGTGGTCACAAGTAAATAGACACCACCTTTTCAGAAAAAATGAACATTTTCAGTCATATTCACATGAATTGATATATTTATAATTTAATTAATACCTAGTAGATCTTCCTTTCGCTTCGTGGAGTTCGTTGATCCTTTGGGGCATCATGAGAATCATCTCGTCAATTTTAGATTGTGGGATTTTCGCTCACTCTTGCTTCAAAACTTGGAGTAGATCGCTCTTCGAAGTTGGTTTTTGGTTGTTTCTTGACTTGCTGGTCGAATATGGCCCAGAGGTTTTCGATGGGTTCATGTCAGGAGATTGGCTCAGCCAGGGCATCTTCTGGATACAATTTACTTCCTGCCACTTTTGGGTGTTTCTATCAGTGTGATACGGTGCTCCATCATCCTGGAACAACGTTGTGTTCTTTTCCACGAAACCCGAGGAATAAAGTGGCAAAAGTCCTTCCTCCAATATTTCGACATATTTCGCAAAATTTATGTTGCCAACGCACTCCACTAAGCTCGATCTCCCACAAACCCAAACAGCTTCCCAAACCATCACGCTGAAACCACCATACTTCACAGTTGGCTGCAATCTGTTGAGCCAAAACTCTTGGTGAGGCATTCTCCAGACCCATATCCTTCCACTATCCAAAAATTGAGCGAATTTTGATTCGTCTGAGAACAATACTGT